AACAGTATTTTTTCGACACATACCTGTCGAAATATGGAGAATTTTCGACAAGTATGTGTCGAAATTTGTTTTTGTTCGTTTTTTCTATATGTTTCGACACGTTGGTGTCGAAAATTGACCAAAAAATTGACCTGTATGTGTCAAAAATTGCCGGCGGGTTTCAAAAAAAAAAAACTTCAAAATCGACTTCGAAGCTCAAAAAAGACATCGATACTTACCTTAATGTGTTCTCCTTTCATATATACTACCATATTATTGTCTTATAACTCAATTTTATAAGTTTTGTGAGGTTTTAATTTCTTTAGTTTTGAGATTTTTTAAAAGGGTTTGTTGTGAGATTTTGTAGAAGGGTTTGTTGTGAGGAAGATTTTTTAAAAGGGTTTTTTGGGAGGGAGAAGAAGGAGGTGGAGGAGGTGAGGGGTTTGTGAGTAAGGAGGGAAATGGTTTTTTTGAGTTTTTGATTATTTGGTATTTAAGAAAGAAAAATAGTATTTGTAATATTTTTTTTGTTTTAATTCATTAAGGGTATTAAAGTAATTTACAATTAATTATTTATTTTTTATTTTTTTGGTATTCAAGTAAGCAAAAGTTGGGATTTGAAATAGTGATCCCCTAAACTTAATTTTAATAAAAAAATTAATTATAAATTGCCACAAGCCCCTAAGGTATGGGCGAATTATCAAAAAAGTCCCTCGGGTATCTGTAGTCAGTAAAAACTCCTCTAGGTTTGTTTCTATCTAACAATGTCCTTCTGGCATGCTTTACTCAATAAAAGAGGGTGTCCTCCTATGAGACTTTATGTGTATTAATACAACTACTAATTCTTTATTTTTGCTAAGTTTATTATTTTTATTGAGTCTAAAATACCCCTAACAAAATATGAAAAATACAAATCCCAAAATAATAGTACTCTTTATAGAAATTTTAATACCATGTTTTTCTCTTCAACGGATTCAAAATCAATTCCTCTCCAAATTTGGAAATCAACCCCTCTGCAAAATCGATTTCAGAAAATACAAAACTCTAGCTAATAAATTGTATCGGTCGTTTGCTATTTGGAGACACCGGTTGTTAATTTGAGACTTTATTTGCTGTTTGTGTTTGCGATTCAACTTCTCTTGTTATCTGCACAATCCATCACATTGGTCAACGCCACCGGAGACCCGTGTTGACTGTCGGTCAGCGGCCACGGCAGTAGGAAAAAAAACAAAAAAAAAAGTCAATGTCGGAGACCGGCGATGCCATTCAAAATTGAATAATTGGTGAAATTTAGGGCCAAATTGAGAGTAAATATAATTGGGTAACTGATAAATTGGAGCATATTAAAATGTGATGACATATTTTAGTCTTTTACACACCTCTGAACTTTTGTCCGGATTTTTTTGTAACATAAATTTTGATATGATCATCTTTATGAATAAGTAATCCATGATATACTTATTTATAATAGGCCCTTAATTATTAAAAACATTAATTAAAGACACATGTTAGCTTATTCCACACCCGATTATATTCACCGGGTGTAGTTCGAATGAGCCACGAAGAACCTTACGAGTCGAAGAACCTTACGGGTGTAAGTTACGACAACAAAACATAAAAGAAAAAGGAAAAAAGACAACGGAGAAAGATGTAGTATATCAAAATAATTTATACTACATTTGTAATACTGTCAAATACTTTTCAAAAGATCACAATTATCCCCCTAATATTACAGTAAGAACTCCTCACACACGACGGTTATTACAAAACGGACATATTTATTTTAAAAGAAAAATTACAATCAGCCCCTCATGAAATAATATTATTACAATTATTCCATGAGGGTAAAATTGAAGTTTTGAGGAATATTCCATGTAATAAACAAGATTCCGTTGAAAAAATTCACATCGTGAGTGGAGGGCAATATAAGATGACAACAAATTTGAGGGTTTCTTTAGTAATTACTGATAAATATGTTTTTTTTTTTTTTTTTAATTTGACCTTAGTTTAGGGAGATTATCGTAATTAAGTGGCATATATGAAATCTCAAGCCATTCAATAAAATCTGCTTCTAACTTAAACTTAATTTAAAACCCAAGTCCTGTTTTAGTTATAGTATATTGTTTAATCCCTTTTGACTCTGAAATTCTTTTCCATGTCAGATTCATTTTTTTCTGATTTAAATTTGGAATATCTTTTAATTTTTTTCTCTTCTTCACATTTCATTTTATAGAAAATAAATTTTTCAAGTCAAGAAAAATGAATATATTCTTCACAGAAAGAGAAAAAAAAAATGGAACCGCCAATCCAATCTTTTAATTATGATAAAGATATTAAGTAAAACTAAAAAGTAAATAAATCCATATATAAATAAATATATACACTGTATTTGGACAGAAACCCTAAATAAATAATTAATTAATTAAATAAAATAAATATATCTACAAGGTAATTTCGATTCAAAACCCCAAATCATAGTACATGTCAGAATCCTCAAGTAGGTTTAATTACTTATTGATTTGGGTTAATTTTATTTTATTTTAGGGATTAAAGACATATAGACTCCAGTTATTGGTTGTTAATTAAGGAATTTCCAAAAATAATAATAAAATATTCCAAAATTGCCATAAAATATAACGCCACGCAATGAAGGTAGATTGGAGATATTTTTCCATAATTATGGGATCCATCATTAATTCCTCCTCATTATTTAACCCCCACACAAACCCTCTCTTAATCCTCGTACAAACAAACGTAAGCAGAAGAAAAATCTTTCTTTGCAAGAAGAAGCTCCTTTTTAAAATAATTTTGTAGCTATGGAACAAGAAAAAGCAACCACCACCACCGTAGTCGAGCCGTCGTCGTCACACTCCGAAGCCTCGAACATCTCCGCCACATCGGAAGAATCTCCGATCAAAGACGACGTCGACAGCAGCAAGAATAAAGAGAAAATCGTCGAAAAAGACGAATCCGAAACGAAGCTCCGCGTCGTTCTAGATCTCACTGTTGCGAACGAAGAGGAAGGGAAAAACCCTAATTCGAAGAAAATTGAGCTCAACCTCTTCAACAGCAACAACAACAACAACTCTTCGAATATCGCGAGCGAGTCGTCCAACGAGGGCGGCGGCAACCCCGGGAAGCCCGCCGCGGAGCCGAAAACCTTCACTTGCAACTTCTGCAAACGAGGGTTTTCGACTTCTCAAGCGTTGGGCGGCCACCAAAACGCCCACAAACAAGAGAGAGCACAAGCCAAGCACCGCAACGGCATGGCGGAGATGTCCGGCGGCCCCGGAGCTCCACCGCCTCCGCCGCCGCCCTACGGGTACCCGTACTACCACCACCACCCCGGTGGGCCCTACGCAGCCTACCAACAAGTACCCTATTACTCGAGCCCTTACAGCAGGTCGCCATCGTCATCGTCGTTACTCGGCGTTAGGACGGAATCCATGATTCATAAACCGCACGCTTATCATCCGTACAACAACGGATACCGATACGGGCACGAAAAGCTGGCTAGGGCTTATTTAATCAGCCCGTCGCCTTCTACATCGTACGATAGATTAAGGATGGATAATTTTCAAACGCATCAAATTAGTGGTAGTGGATTAGGATTAGGGTTAGGAGTTAACCCTAATAACCCTATTAGGATTGATAATGATACATGTAATGTAGTGAGGAGCAAGCCTAATGAAGTCAAGAACAATCGAGGGCTGCGCTTGGCAAACGACGGCGGCAACGAACAAACGGATGGTTCCGGGCTCGATTTGAATCTTAGGCTTTAATTTCATTGTTATTGTCCCTTTAATTTTCTTTATTTTTTTTTCTCTGTTTTTCTAATTATAATTTACATTGTTATTCAATTCCATTATTTAATTTATTTTTAAAGTGTTTCTTTTTTTTTTTTTTTTTTTTTTTTTTTTTTTTGTTTTGGATTTGGTTTTGTAATGAATGATTAATTGAAGGAATGATTAACATTATATTATTATAAATTAATTAGGAAAAGTTTTAATAGGAATCTTGTAATTTTGAAATTTCAAACATGGTTACTCCATTTATTATGGAATTATGTCGTATCATGAGACATGTAACTTAGTCTACATATTTCATTTAATATTTAGATGATGCCATAACTTAGGGAGATGACTAATTTAATACAGTGGATCATATAATCATTAAAAATTAAAAGAAATATATTTTATCATAAAGGCCCTAAGTATTTTGCTAGAAACATAAAACGCCGGTTTTTGCATTTGTGTTTTTTTGTTCAATTGAATTTGAATTCATCGGTTCTGATGTGAACACGTGTTCACTAACTAGAGAACGTTCCATGAACTCTAGAAGATTCTATTCAATATGGCATCATAAGGGTAGATTTGTAATAAAATTCATAGTTCTAATTACCTAAAATGAGGGGGTTTTTGTAATTTAACCTTATTTTAGGGTTGACCGTAATTTACCCTAATTTGATTTTGTACAAAAAACTTACGAATTCCAAACTGGGGTCGATCGATACTTTGAAAATACACATCGAGAAAGAAAAGCACTTGACACACTATATATAATTCAACATGGATTCGACTTCGAAACAAAAACCGACTGAAGGTGATTTATCATCTTTTAATTATACGGATATTGGACTAAGTTGTTTTGAACAAGTACACGAGATCAAAACTACGAGGACAAAAGGAACGGAGCTAGCGCTGCAATTCGAACGGAAGTGAATGATTCCGTTTTATTATTTATGTTTGCAAGTTTGTACTTTTTTTATGTATATATTCATTCATCAATCATCAATATTTATTAGTTTTGAAATTTTCTAGTTACGTGTGTAGACACTTAAATTTAATATAATTTATATTATATTAAATTGAATCCCAAGATTATAATTTATCTTGCAAAATAAGTCATGGAGATAATTATCAATTAATTATTGACCAATAAGACTGTTTCTTCTCTTCCAAGTTATAAGAGATAAATATCAATTTAAAGAGAGCCAATCAAATCGCGCCACGTCATCAAGAAGACTTCATGTAGGACTCTTATTCTACCACTATAAATAGGGACCCTCCCTACACAATTCAAAACACAACTCAAGAAGAAGAAAAACCGTAGGAGAAAATTCTCTCTACAAGATTCAAGTCATCTTCATCAAATTCAAGGCGTTCTTCATCAAATTCAAGGCGTTCTTCATCAAATCGAGAGCGTTCTTCAACAAATCAAGATCGAAGGAAGATTGAAGGGCCAAATCCATCAAGAACTCCAAGATCTTCAAGTCAAAGCTCGTCAAAGTTCAGCGTTCGATCCGAGATTCAAGTCGCAAGACCCTCGGAAAACGTTATTCAAGTTCAAAATCAAATCCGGAGAAGATCAAGTCAACGACCCGACTCCGAAATTCAAAGTCAACATATATTGTTCTTGAGAGAAGAATCAGAGGATTAAATTAGAGTTTGTAACCCGCAATATTTATTTTTAATTCAATAAAATTATATTTGTGCAAGTTTTTCTTGTTTGTCTAAATTCGCAGATAAGAATTTGTTGCTACAAATTTTGGCACGCCCGGTGGGACATCTCTACCTCTCATCTCTTCTCTCTCTCGAAGATCCTCGAAGTGTTGCAGTAACTGCTCTACGTTCACAATGAAGATTGCTACTTCGGATTCATCAAGTGTGGGCTTAGGTACAAGAAGTATAGCTAAGAAGCTGCAAGCATCCTCCGAGACTAACTCGACGCCTCAAACCATTCAGAAAGGCTTACCACCTCTTGTCAACACAAGCGCAGACGTGGAAGGTTCAAAACGAGAGATTTCACAGCCCACGCCTCGTTCAACATCAAGCTACTCAGAGGTGGCATCCGTCATGACAACAAACGCTACAACCATGGAGGAGCAAATTGCAAGTTTGACAAAGGCCATTGAGGGACTCGCAAAGCATGTTCAACAACGAGATTCTCAAATTGCCGAGTTGATCAACAAGATGGACAAAGCCGATGCTAGTCAAGCTATGGAGAATCAGATAGAGGTTCAAGACAAAGTTGAGACATCCACAAAGCAACAACCAGTTGAAAACGAGAAGGCTCCAGCTCAAGAACTTCATGTTTCTCCAGAAGGGATGATTCATGTAGATCAAGTGATGACGCTAATCAGTGGAACCATCAAAGACAAGTTGGAAGGAAGCTCGAAGTCTCCATCAACCTATGTCAAGCCATACACGCAAAGGATTGATGATCTAAGGATGCCAATGGGCTATATACCTCCAAAGTTTCAACAATTTGACGGCAAAGGCAACCCCAAGCAACATGTGGCACACTTCGTCGAGACTTGCAATGATGCCGGGACGTACGGAGATCACCTCGTCAAGCAATTCGTCCGATCGCTCAAAGACAACGCGTTTGATTGGTACATTGATTTGGGGGCAAACTCCATTGATAGTTGGAAGCACTTAGAGGAAGAATTTCTCAACCGCTTTTACAGCACTCGAAGAACAGTCAGCATGATTGAGCTCACCAATTCCCGCCAGTGGATGAAGGAACCTGTCATCGACTACATCAACCGTTGGAGAAATATGAGTCTTAATTGCAAGGATCGACTGTCTGAGACATCAGCTATTGAACTGTGCATCCAAGGAATACAATGGGGACTCCGATATATCCTTCAAGTAATTCAACCTAAAAATTTTGAAGAGTTGGCCACTCGAGGACATGATATGGAGTTGAGCATACTTGCAAATCAAATTGAAGAACCACCATTCCAAAAGCCGTACCAGCTCAATGAAGAACATGTTGAAGAAGAACAAGAAGATCATGAGGATGGGGGCAAGTGTTTTGAAGAAACAACACCCTATGCAATATGACAAGTCAAATCAAATAAAACACTCATTGACACGAGTTTAAAAGGTTTACATGTCCAAATCAAGTGAAATACTCCTTGACACGAGTTTAAAAGGTCTACATGTCCAAATCAAGTGAAGCACTCCTAAACACGAGTTTAAAAGGTCTACATGTCCAACTCCAGTGAAGCACTCCTTGACACGAGTTTAAAAGGTCTACATGTCCAAATAAAGTGAAGTACTCCTTGACACGAGTTTAAAAGGTCTACATGTCCAAATAAAATAAAGTACTCATTGACACGAGTTTAAAAGGTCTACATGTCCATATCAAATGAAGTACTCCTTGACACGAGTTTAAAATGTCAACATATCCAAATCAAACCAAGGCTCCTTGATACGAGCATAAACTATCTATATATATCCAAATCAAAGTCAAGGCTCCTTGATACGAGCATAAACTATCTACATATTCAAGTCAAATCAAGGCTCCTTGATACGAGCATAAACTATCTATATATCCAAGTCAAATCAAGGCTCCTTGATACGAGCATAAACTATCTATATATCCCAGTCAAGTCAAGGCT